GTTTGCTCTAAAATTTTTATATTTAAATTACATATTTTATATTGTACATAATTTGATTTGATGTTAACCCGGAATAAAATGTTCCTTTGCACAATTTTTTGGGTTGTTCAACATCTTATTTGGAGAGATATTACACCACAGTTTTCACAATTTGGTGAATAGTTGTCCCCATTTTTAGTGTTGAGGTATTCTAAAAATTGTAACATTTAGTCTCATTTTTTATTCCCTTTTTCATTGATATATTTTTATTTAGTTATTTATTCAATATTTTTGTGTTTGTTTACAGACAATACATATCTTCTTTTCATGTGGAATTAGAATAAATTTATGGCTTCTTCGAAAAAACATTTGGTTTAAAAACAAGAACATTTTTAGTAATTTATTCGCGCTAATTCTTTCAAACCAATGTTATTTTTTCAAAGTTATATAATTGTTTGCACGATAATTAAAAGTTTTTTACTTAAAAATATATTTAATTTACCTCAGCACAAAAAATAGTGGCAACTGAAAATCACAATATTTTACATTGTATAAGCACAAATAATAATAGTATATTGTATTTATTCGTATGGTGAAAGCAAATTACTGGGAGACTAACACAAATATATCGGGTTTTTTTCAGTTAGCTTTAAATTTTATTCATAATAATTATATTAACTTTAAACAAGCATTTATAATTTTGTATTTATTTAATTATCATATTAATAAAGTGCAAATCGTTTTCAGCATTAAATTTTTGAATTTAAATATCCTTCTCATAAGCGGATTCCTTTCTTAAGCCTGCATCTCTGTCTCAACGAGCCTCTCTGATCGAGCTGTATCACTCACCAAATGATCGGTAGCGTAGAAGTAGCAGGTTCGAATCCCACCGGCTGTATCTTCTTGCTGATCTTCCCTGAATTGTACTATCTGTTTTTCTACTTGACAAAGGTTTATAAACCATATTTATGTCCTTGAGCACACAATCTTCTATGTATGTGTACCAATAAATAAATAAAATAAATCTCTGTCCCAAAGGATTCCACGTTATCATGGTTTACCTGATTTAAATTTCTGCTCAAGAGTAAAGTATGTCCTGCATAAAACAGTTACTTCAGCTAGATTATTAAGAAAATGATGGAATAGTTGACTTTTCAAAACTACAGTTCATTTTATCAATCGTTTTAAGGTAATAGTAATTCGGAATATGGTTGTGTCAAATAAATACGAGCGTTATAAGGCACTGCATATCCGGTAAAATTGGCTGTGGTACACAGTCTTGACACTTCCTGGGTCTTCAGACTAAAAAGCAAGATCCGGGTACCTGGTACCAGGTAAAAAATTCCCTTTGCTAGGTTCGGGTAATAAATAATGGATACTAAAAATCTGGCTGGTTACCGAGTAGGTAGGTAGGTACTTTATTTACGTCGCGCTACAGCTGCACAATGGGCTATTTGCGACGGTCTGGAAAACATCCCTGAGGATGTTCCGAAGTCATGCCATCGCACTTATGTACCGAGTAATTAACATTATACGGGACTTCGCCTGAAATCTGATTGGAAAAAATTATTTCGTCAACGTAAGCGTGCTTCCTAAAATTAAAGGGACAAAATTCATTTTTTAATTTTTGCATAGAAAATACTAAAGCATTTTTACCAATGCGTGAATAGAAAATTGATTTTAAAAAATTTAATGTATAATATAANGGAAAAAATTATTTCGTCAACGCAAGCGTGCTTCCTAAAATTAAAGGGACAAAATTCATTTTTTAATTTTTGCATAGAAAATACTAAAGCATGTTTACCAATGCGTGACTAGAAAATTGATTTTAAAAAATTTAATGTATAATACAAGTAAGAAATGAATTGTAAATATCATTTTCCCAAGTATTAATATTTAATTTCTGAATCATGTTAATATGGATACTTTGCTACTAAATTGAAGAAAGAAAATCAGATGATAGAATATTTTAATTGCACTCAGTGTTTACACTTAATATCTCAGTGTTTCAAGAAAACTTATTACCTTAGTTAGTTTTCATTCCGCTTCGATTTAAAAGCATTCTCCCAAAGCAAAACGAAAATACTATTTCCTATGCTTTGAGTATTTTAATCGCAATGTAATATGATCAAATGTAATATGAGGTAGTTTGTTAAAGTCTGAGTTGACCTACATTTAAAGGGTTCTACTCTATATTTCCCTATCACGCATTTCCTTGTTTAGTTAACAGTAATAATATTAATAGCTGTATTTAAGGATTGGACAAACAACCTGTTAATTTTTTTTTTAATTTTTGTTATGAGATAGACCTTAGATTTTAATTTCAAGTTAAAGAATGAACTTCAAAAATTCCAAAAACACCAAAATAAGCAACAAATTATTTAAAGTCACTCGAGATGGTAGGTGGCGCTAAAATCACCAATAATGCAAATATTATATGAGGCAGTTTTTTAAGTCTGCGTAGTCCTATACTTACAAGGTTTTACTCTCAATTTTATTATCACGCATTTCCTTGTTTAGTTAACAATTTTAATTATAGTAATAATATTAATTGGCTTAGTAAACTTTTTGAACAAGTAAAAAAAATTAATACTAATAAATTTCGAGATTTAACTGAATGAAACTTGTTTGTCGATAAAACCCATGTTAAATCTACGAGGAATTTTCATTTAATCTCTTTCCTATAAATTTTTTATCTTAGCGGATCACAGACTGCTAACCACATGTCTTAACACTCTAAACACAGCGGTCAGGCACGGGTATTATTATTCAAGTATTAATCCGTTATTTAGCTTTATAACAGAATAATGTGGGGAAGGGGGAGAAAAATAGAGTTGCATATCTACTTACACATTTTAGTATATAGTTTACAGAAAAAATAAAAATGTGTATCCAAAATCGCTGTATTTGAGTATTTACACGCTTTCATACAAGAGACAGACGGAATATTTCTGAAGGTGGACGATTTTTATGGTGGATTAGTAACTAATTAATTATGTTACCGGCAACTGAAACGAC